CAGGAGCTTTTCCAAGGTGTCCTCTGCTTCCTGCTCCTCAGGGGCTGCCAGGGATGGTTCCTCAATGCCCTCATCACCCAACACTTCTTCCCGCTCTTCTTCCTCCACTTTCAACACAGTTTCTATGTCTGTGCTTTGCCTCTCTGCCGGTGCTGCCTCCCCACGTGCAGGGAGCACAACCTCCTCTCCTCCCAGCACGCCATTTTCAGCTGTCCCCTCCTTTGGCAAACAAACCTCTCCAACATCTTCTGCCTCTCGTTCGGGTTCCCTCACACCCTGAGACCTCTCTGCCACGATTTTCAGACTGTCTCTACTTTCTGGAACGCCCACTGTAATGCAGATTTCACTTTTCACAACCACTGCTCCACTTTCCAATGCCCTCTTCTGGTGTTCGGGACCTTCCACTCCATCTACGGCAGGAGGCTTCGACTCTTCTGCCTCAACCATCATTTCTTCTGTTTCTCTGATTAATCCACTATCAAGGTCACTGGGAGGTTCTGGCATCAATGATTTTACCTGATGTTTATCCTTGGTTGTAAAAGTGACCCGTTCTTTCCCAAATTCAGCATCAGCTTCACCCCTGATGGTCTCCTGTTCAGTGGAAATCTGCTCCTGCTCTTCCACACGCAGGAAATCCTCTGCATCCTCCAAGAGGAGACTTTCAGGTCCCACCACCACCTCCCCGTTCTCCAAAGCAGTTCTGGGTGGTAGGATCTTCTCGCTTTCACCTTTTGAAGGAGCAAATTGAAGCTCAAGCCGCTGCAAAGCCAAACCATTGCAAGGTTCATTTTCAAGCGCTGCGTCTGCCTGTGTCTCCTCAAAGCCTTCCAACACCTGTGCACAGGATCCATTTTCTTGGCTTTGGATGAGAGCTTTAGTGAGATTGTTCAACTCTGCATCCACTAAGAGCACCTTCTGGCCATCGTGGATGTTGATGTAGCTGTGGGTCATCAAGTGGAACATCAGCCTTTCGTCGTCGCTCCTCAGCTGAGGCTCCTCCTGACCTGTGGGGCTCCTTCCAGGGGAGCTCTGGCCGTGCCTGCTGCTGCTTGGGGACCCAGCGAGCTGCACGCTGCCCATGACATCAGGCATGGCTGTTGACTTCAGCTTCTCCACCACCTCTCTCTCCAGGACGCCCCGTTCCACTGCCTTCTGCCAGGACAACACCTCCGTGGTGTCCGGTGTAAGAACGGCCTGAAGGAGCTGCCTCTTGCCGAGAACCTCCTGAATCAGCTCTGTGGAGAGGATCCCCTGCTCCAAAGCATCTGCCACAGGGATGATCTCCCCCGTCTCTGGCCACAGCAGCCCCACGAAGGACCCCAGGGATTCCAGGACCAGCAGTGCAAGCCTTGGAGCTACCAACCCCTTCCTTAGGGCTTCATCCACGGTCAGCCTCTGTCCCGTGACGCTGTCCATGATCCCACCCGTCCGCAGCTGCCGGATCAGAAGCGTGCAGGCCAAATCCTGGTCAATCAAACTGTGCCTGACAGCCTCATCCACGGTCAGCCTGTGTCCTGTCCTGGGGTCAACAATGCCACCAGCAAAGAGGTGGGCTTCCAGCAACCTGATGGTCACCTGCCTGTCTATCAGCCCCTCCTGCACCGCACGGAAGATGCTGACCTCCCTGCCTGACCTCAAGCTCACCATCCCACCTGCCAGCTGCTTGACTGGCAGCAGCCTCAGCCCAGTCTCCTGGTGGATGATGCACCTGTCCAGGAGCTCGGGCAGACTGATTTTCTCAGCAGTGTTGGGGTCAATCAAATCCTTGCCACCTTCCAGGTGAGACAGGAGCCTGGAGTGGAGCTGGTGGGGAAGGAGCTTTCCTTGCACTGCTGTCTCCATGCTGATTCTGCCCTGCTGGAATTTAAAGCCCCCAGTGATGAGCTCAACCTCAAGAATCTTCAGCCCAAGGCTCTCACTGATCCTCCCCTCTTCTATGGCAGTGACGATGGGGAGGAGCTGCCTCCCTTCACATCTGACTTCTTCCACCTGCTGGAGAGCATCCTTCAGTTCCTTCAGCACCCGGAACACCCGGAGATCAATGATGTTTCTTGCCAGAGCTTTCTCCAAGGAGAGTTTCTCACTGGTTTCTGGGACAACTAAGTCAGAGGAGATCACCTGGGCCTCCAGGAGGGCCAGGCCTGTGTCCTGATCTATAAGACCTCTCTGCATGGCACCAAAGACAGGGAAAATTTCTACCGTGCCAAGATCGATCACTCCTGCCACGACTTCGCTGCCCTGGAACAGAAAGAGAAGGAAAAAAGAATTAAATCAGAGTCCAGCATTTCCAGCACTCATTGCATGAGTTTCAGGGAGGCCTCAGTTAAAAAAAAAAAAAACAACCAAACAAAAAAAAACAAACTTAAAATCCCCAAACAGGCTAGAAAGTCCTAAAGTGTTTGAAATCTAGTCCATCACCAGGGCAACACCAAGATGTTTCCAATATCCACCAGCAGTAATGCAGCAAAGCAGCAAGCACCAAAACTCAGAATCATTCCTAATGCTCCACAGAAAAGAGGGCAGGAGACCAACAAGCACAACAAAGCCCTTCACCAACTCCAGCTTTAAAAAGTAAACACAACACAAAGCCCATTGTGCACTCACGGGGAAGAAAACCCCCCCCCAAAACCACCCACTTTGGGGTAAAGAGGAACCTTTCCCAGCACAGCCTCCACGCTGATTCCTGCCATGCTGAAAATCCTGCACTTCCCAAGCAAATCCCAAGTGGCAGGATGGGTGGGGAACACCCCAGAGCCCCATGCCATGGAGCAGCTCCCAGCCATGCATCGGGGCAGGAGCAGCACAGCTCCCCAGGCATGACCACAGCCCCTGCTCTGCCACTCCAGCACCTCCGAGTTGCTCCTCAGACAGGGCCAGGGGAGAAATGGAACAAGCTGGAGGTTCCAGCATGAGAACAGTGACAAACTGGGACCACACCAACTACTGTGGTGTTTTTTGGAGGGGCTCCTCTTGCTGCTATCTCCACAGGGAGGGTAATAATTTAGGTGATAAAGTGTCTTTGTTCGAAGCCTCTTTGGATGTTTGGGTTTCTCCCACTGCCACTGGTTGGGTGTAAGGCTGGCCCAAGCACGCCAAGATTTTTGTGGGGATAGCAAGGAGGGAATCAGGACTATGGAATGAATTCCTTTTGCATCCCAACACCCTGCTGTGGGGACAGGAGGAACCTTCTGGGACAACCTAAGCTCTCCACCACCATGGCCAGACCCTGACGTGCATACTCGGAGATGAACAAGCCATGGAAAGACAGAGAAGAGAGGGAAAGGGGGGAAAACAAAAGAGAAGGATAAAAAAGGAGACGGATGGGAGGGGAGGGGAGTAAAAGGCTTTTACTTACCGACTTGCAGGGTGTGCCTTGAGCAGTTAAAGACAGAGCCTTATGGAGCAGTTCAGCCGTATCACACACAGTGTAAAGCTTGGGGTTAGCGTCCAGCATGCGACTGTTTTGTTTTGCAAAAAGAACCCCCACACACAGGTCCGTCCTCTTTCCCTTTTGTGTGTTTTGTTTGTTTAAATCCCAGGGGGGTTAGTTAAACTTGTAAGCAAGGATGTCAGTTAATCTTAAAAACAGTTGACATGAAACACAAACCATACAGGGACACATCATGCTCAATTTAGCGCGCTCTGCTTTGCATTTTTTGGTCTTTTGTAACTTCTTTCTGACAGTTGGATGTTTCCAGCAAGCAAATGTTAAAGAGTTCTTCATGCTCCCTCTACAGTGAAGCAACAGCTCTGCACTAGAGCCGCAGGGATGGTTTTGCAGACGGGGATTTAAGGTGAAGCCCCACTGCCATCTCTTGTTTTGCAGCTTGGCCTTCGTCGAGTCCGTGAGTGAAAACTGTTCCAGCCCCAAAGCAGCATCATGCTGTACCAAAACAAGCCCTGGAGAAGGTTTTTGCTCTAAAATAATTTTCCTGATCAAAAGGGAGGAAAAGGGAAAGGAAAAGAAGCATCCATTCCACGGGGAGGCTGCACCAAATCAGTGATGGCTTAACAAAATGATGTGTTCACCTTTCTGCTGCCAGCACGAGGGCTGAAGGGCTTGCAATAAAATAAATAATTTCCTGCTCTGAAACACCTGGAACGTGCTGTAAAGTTCAGCTTGGAGCAAATCACTGCATATTTAGGTGAAAGCTGGACAGGCAGATCTCAAAAAGAGCAGCTCTGCCACCTTCTCCCCACGAGTGGCTTGAACAGGGCTTCACTCACAGACCTGAGAGCCAAAACCTGCGTCTCACAGCCAGATGTGAGCGGGCTGTTGCTTCAGGGTACAGGGAGCCAGCAAGCAAACACACAAAAATATCCATTGACACATGAATATACACTTAGAGAACACGCACACGTAAATCTGTGAATGACAGCTGGTAACAGAGGCAATAAGGATGCGCTTCCAGCCCTCCCTACAAGGATGGGACCTGGTGGGTATGGACAGGGAACGGGTCCTGGAGGTCTCCCAGGTCAGCTGAAGGGCTGGATAATGCCGTTGCCTTCCACAAGGAAGAGCTACTTGGTTCAGCCAGCGCTGAGAAGAAGCCTTGGCCAGACCCTGAGATCCCTGAGGCCACATGAGTCCCACCTTCAGCACCCCCTGCCCACAGGCAGCTGTGGGACTGAGCCCTCTGAGGGTTACAGCCATCAGGGGACACAGATTTCCTCAGGGGACACAGATTTCCTCAAGAGGACACAGATTCCCAGGGCAGAATTCCATCTGCCACCCTGCTCACCGAGCACAAACGAGCTTTGTGCAGAGGGCAGAGCCCTGATGGCCACCAAAGGACAACTTCTCCCATGGAGCTGGAAGGCAGCAGGAAAACAGCTCCTGCTTGGCACCCCCAGATGCTTTGGGTGACCATGAATAGGAGAGAGGGGAGGGCAACCAAGAGGCTGTGAGTGGCCAGTGGCCAGGAGACACACAGCAAAACCTTCTGCACAGCCTGAGGAGAGAAGGTGAGGAGTGAACAGGGCTGAGCAGGGAGCAGTACCTTGTGCTCTGTCTCCTGAGCCAGCTGGCTCTGGAGCTGCTGGAGCTGCTCCGTGGAGTTGCTGCAGAGAGCCTGGTAGGTCTCCTTCAGAGCACCAATCTGAGCAGAAATCTGGTCCTTTTCTGGTTGGGAAAGCCTGTAAAGGGAAGGAGAAATATCTCAGGATACTGCCCAAACCAGCTCCACAGAATTACCACGTGCTTCCAAGGCCAAATCCACCACGAGTCCCTTCCTCTCCCTGCCCTGCTCAGCTAAAACCTGCCAGGATAACTGAGCAAAGGCCTTGTAACAATCAAATCCCCAAACATATGGGGCTGCATCTCAACTAAAGAGGATTTATATCATCCCACAGCATAAATGGGTTGCACATTTCACAGATCTCATTGCAGATAATAAAGAAGACAACTGCTGTGTGCAGCTCATTGTTTTTAACTGGAGTCAGGCACTGGAATCCATGGATCCACCAGCTCTAAGGACTCTCACCTCCAGCCCCTGTTCTCCCCCTGGTCACACTCACTTGTGGCTGTGTTTTGCCAGGAAGATTTGGGAAGTTTTGATGGCCTCAGAGACCTGCTCCTTCTTCGCAGTCAGCTCCTCGTTCAGGGCCTGGAAAAAAAAATGTAAAAAAAAAAAAAAAGAAAGAAAGGATCTTAATGCAGCTGTGACAAAAGAGCAGAAGTTAAACCCCAGGGCCTGGTGTCAGTCCTGCTTTACCTGCTGCTCTGAGATGGATTTCTCGATGTCTCCCAGCTCTCTGCTGCCAGCAGCAGCTGTCCTGCCCTGCACACTCTGCTGCAAGCCCAGGGCCCAGCCCAGCAGCTCCTTCACCTTGTCCACGTGCTCCTGCTTCTCCTCCTCCACCACTTTCTGCAAACACAGGAGGAAGGAGGAAGACAACCACGTCAAAAGGGATCTCCAAAGGGGGAGCAGAGCCCAGGGCGAGCCCTCAGCACGGAGCAGCATCCTTGGGGGTGGGGGGATGTGGGGACAGAGTGCAGGTGAAATGTAAATTTTAAGGAATTTAGAGATTTTAAAGGAGCGGAGATTTTAGTTAGAAATAAGCCTTACTAGAGTTAATCAAAATAAATGAGTAGGCCTTGATGAAGTTAAGAGTTAGTTAACTAATAATTGATTGCTTGTCAGCACAATGTTGAGTTATCTGGGTTTATAATGAAGAATATAAATTGACAAATAGCTTTTAGGAACATCAGACAATTGTGGCCTCCTCTGTTCTGAAACCAATTGAAGACAAGGAATGGGAGTTCTACCAAGAGTTCATTTGTCATATTGGCATTGGAAAGGTAGAAAGGTCAGGAGGAGGAAGACTTCATTGACTTCCTAATTTTGGGACCCCTCCCCATTAAAGGGACCACCCACCCATTTCAAGGAGCAAATTATGCATGCTGAATAGTTTTTGAAATGATTAGCATAGGAAGTGAGGAAGGGGATGTACCAAAACGATGAATATGTATTCGTATTTTGGGTATTCAATACTTTGCTGGATAAAAAGACTCTTTAATCACCTGAGAGGTGCGGTGTGGATTTGGGAGTGATCCCACACACAATAAACACACACTTTCTGACTTTAAACTGTTAGAGAGTTTTTGTCTGTCACAGCTGGGTATCAGTACTAGATCAATATCCAGATTTCTTTAATAATTCAGAAATTGTAGCTTTGTAAACACACACTTTTTATCTTTAAACTGTTAGAGAGTTTTTGTCTATCACAGTTGGGTATTGTCCTAGATCAATATCCAGATTTCTTGAATAATTCACACTGACCCATTTCAAGGAAGAAACTACACATGCTTAGTAGCTTTTGAAGTGATTAGCATACGAAGTGAGGAATGTGATGTACCAAAATGATGAATATGCATTTGTATTTTGGGTATTCAATGCTCTGATGGATAAAAAGACTCTGTGATCACCTGGAAGGTGCGGTGTGTATTTGGGAACTATCCCACACACAATAAACAGAAACTTTCTAACTTTAAACTGTTAGAGAGTTTTTGTCCACCACAGCTGTGTACCAGTACAAGATCAATATCCAGATTTCTTTAATTTAAATTCAGAAATTGTAGCTTTGTAAACACACACTTTCTAACTTTAAACTGTTAGGCAGTTTTTGTCCGTCACAGCTGGGAATCGGTACTAGATCAATATCCAGATTTCTTTAATAATTCAGAAATTGTAGCTTTGTAAACACACACTTTCTAACTTTAAACTTTTAGAGAGTTTTTGTCCGTCACAGCTGGGAATCGGTACTAGATCAATATCCAGATTTCTTTAATAATCACAGGGGTGTCCCACGGCCTCACCTCCTCCTCCTCCAGCCGCCGCAGCGCGTCGCTGATGTACTTCACGTGCTGGGTGGTGAGTGTCACCAGGGCCGTGTAGCGAGTCCTCAGATCCATGAACTGCCGAGGGACAGAGGGGAAAACAGAGGGAAGAGGGGGTGCATCAGTGCTGCTGGTGGATGCAGAGCGTCACCCTTCACAGTCCACGACAGGGGTGAGGCACCTGTGGGCTTGGCAACCCCCCAGGGCACCTGGCAGAGCCGGGATGGCACCACTGGGATGCAGCAGGTCTGCTGGGAAGGGTGGTGGCCACACAAGGCATGCTGCACGACACTGGAGCGAGGGGACACTCCGGCCACGGACACTCTTACAGAGGATCTTTAATACCCACACAGAGCAGACAGGAGCTCGGGTCCCTAAAAAGGTTCTCATCCCAAAGGTGCACACACAGCAACACTGCATGGTGCTCTGGTTATTTACCTCGCGAGGCTGAAGGGCTGAGCCGAGCCCGCTGGATTTGACCCAGGGGTTCCCAGGAGTCTGGGTATGGCATACCTGGTGCTTAGGGCACTAAGCCATCCTCTCTGGCTATTGGAAAAAACAGCGAGGGTGGAAACTTTATTTATACAAGAGAGTTCAGCAGGAAGGAGCTCATTTCACAGAGGCTGCTGGGTGGTTTTGCTGGGTGTGGAAGAACCCCCCCCACCTGAAATTTCCCCTCTGCTGAGCTTAGGTGGGCTCCTACCTCCTGGGTGATGGCATCTGAGGAGGAAAGCATCCGCCGGCGCTTCATGGGGGACTTCTGCTGCGACTCCACGAAGGCCCTGTAGGTCATCAGCTGCAGCTCATAGTCCTGAGAAGGTGGGGAGATGTGGACCTTGTGAGATCTGCAAACTCTGCCAGGGCTGCTCCTGCCCAGCCCACCCGACCCAGGAACTGTACCTTGACGGCGGCCGAGTACTGCTGGGAGAATTTCTGACACTGGTCCAGCTTGGCTTGGTTTTTCTCAATTTCTGCAGCCAAAGCCTTTGAGGAAATTCAGAGCAAAAGTGGTTGTCAGAACAGGCTGGGCTGAGTTGTTGCCCAGGGAAGCTGTGGATGCCCCAACCCTGGAAGTGCTCAAGGCCAGGTTGGACAGGGCTTGGAGCAATCTGGTCTAGTGGAAGGTGTCCCTGCCCATGGCAGGAGGATGGAAAGAAGATGATTTTAGAGATCCCTTCCAACCCAACCTGTCTGGGATTCTATGACAGCGGCCATGGGCACGTGAGCAGAATTTCGGTTCACATCCCTGCACTTTTGGGTAAAATCTTTACACTCTGCATTTTTTCACGCAAGACCTCATCTGCACCTCAAGCCAAGCAGAGCTCCTCCATTTCCCAGACACCCAGCTCAGGCCTGCAGCCTCTTCCCTGCTGCTTTTCATATTTCCAAGCTCAGAGATGAAACGAAGTGACACGCTCACGGCAGCAAGGAGACATCACCAGGTCCTGCCTCACCGTTTGCTGGCTGAGCTGCTCCGACAGCACCCGGCTGTCCTCAGCCTGGCCAGGCTTCATCAGCTCCTGCTGGGCTGTGATCTCCTCAATCCACTGGATCAGGGCTCTGTGGCACTGCCGGTAATCACTCAGCACCTCCTGGATGCTCTCCAGCTCCGTGTGGCTGGAGAGAAAACCACGACAGGTTAAGAGGAGGAGGTGAAAACAGCACCAGCAGGAATCCCAGGCAGAAAGATTTCACCTCCACCAAGCCTGCCCCAAGGTGTCAGCTGAAGGATGAGAGCAAATCTGGGAGAGGAGGCAGGGGTCTCTCACCGGGTCTCGATCTGGGCGCAGGCTCGCTGCCAGCGATCCCACAGCTGGCTCCCCTTCTCCTGGAAGCGCTCCAGGTCGATGCTGCGCTCCTGCCTCAGCCTCAACAGCTGCTCCCCCACCTCCTTCGCCTTGGCCATCTCCTCCTCCAGCGTGGAGAACACGGAGCCCTTGTCCTTCACCTCGCCGAGCCATTGCTGCAAAAGGAGACAGCACCGGGTCAGTGCCACTGAAAGCAGAAGGGACCAAGTCAGAGATGTCCTCCCAGCCACAGGTGACAAAGCTGCAAAGGGGTTAATGGGTTTGTTTTCCCACTCTCCTTAAGCTGCAAAGAACTGGGAGGTGTAGAATGAAGGGGAAATGCTCCCAGTCAGATTGGTTCAGGCCCTGTCCTACAGCAGCAGACAGAGCACAAGGCACATCACCTCCTCTACACTCACAAAACAATCAGGGCCCTCACAAAACCCTCTCAAATGTACCAAGGCAAGAAAATTCAGCAGAAAAAAGGGAAGGACGCTGCTTGACAAACCACCAGCACCCACCTGCAGGGCTGCCCTGTGAGTCTGAATGGCTGCCAGATCAGCAGGAACAGCCTCCTCCTGGCTCAGCTTCACCTCGTAGCCTTTCACCAGGGACTCTGCTCCTTGGGTGCTGCGGATAATGATGTCAACCGTCTTCAGCCTGGCAAACCAAACAGAACACAATGACATCCCAGGCGTGGCAGAGAGCTGCAGGCTGCACCGTGTGCTGCAGGGGCACGGATGCAGTTACATCCACCACAAGGTGTGTTGGAGGGACAGAACAAGGCCTTCAGCAGACTGGGAACACTCAAAAGGGAGTTTGGGAGCAGAGGCACATCCCCACTCACTTTTCCAGGTAGGTGGAAGACAGCCCATGTGTCTGCTCCATCTTGTTCACCACCAAGTCCAGCTCTGAACGCAGGTGGGGCGTGCTGGGCCCTGCAGGAGCTTTGTCCAGGAAGCTGCAGCACCTCTGGGACACAACCCGCAGCTCCGACTGCAGCTGCTGCAGATCCGCCTGCGTGCGCTGCAGGGGGAGAGAGACAGCGTGAAAGGAGAGCCCAGAGGGGCAGGGAAAAGGCAGGACTGCCCTTGGCAAAGGAGCTGGTGGGGAACAAGGCAGGGATCCCAGCTGCTGGGGCTCCCCGCTGCCTCCTGCGCAGCGAGATTCCCTCAAACCCCGCGCCCTGCGCCCACGCAGGGGAGCTACAGCTGTTCTTGGATGTGGATTTTTGGATATTTTTGCCCGCCTCACCCCTCCCTGGCCGCCTCCCAGCAGCAGGCCTGACCTCCTGCTCTGCCATGCGGATGGCGTTTTCCTGGATGGTGTCACCGTCGGCCCGGGCGCCGCTCGGGGACTGGATGCGGCTCACGAGCCGCTGCTCGCACTCCTCCAGCCGCAGGCGGATGTTCTTCAGCTCCGACAGGTAGCTCCTGGCAAGGGTCTCATCCTTGTCTTCTGCAAGCCAGAGACACACAGAGAGCAGCTCAGTATCTGTCCCAAACGGGACCTGCTGGAATCCCCAGAGCCCAGCGCTGACACCGACCGCTAACATCTCTGCTCAGGTGGAAAACACCTTAATTAAATCAGCTCGTTCTGGAAATGAGTCCAGCCTCGGGGAACCTGACTGCAGTCCTCAGTCCTAGTGGGATTCACAAGTGCCACCAGCACATGTATTTTCCCAAAGATTAAATGCAGGAAGAGCTCCTTGCATGGAATGCATCTCCGTTACCAACACTACAAGGGGAAGAGGGCTCAGCAGCTCAGCTGAAGCTGCAAAGCCAAGGCCTCTCTGCTGGAATGGTGCTGGACAAAGGCCCAACTCCTGGAGGGATAGATGGAGAAATAAGGAGAGCAGCTGCTCACACCATCAACCAGCTAGCTCAGGAAAAGAAGAACACTAAGCCATCCCATAAATCCTTTGATTATGAGTTCCCACAGCTCCTGGTAAAGCCATCAGGCCCTTTGAAGCTCACCGTTCTCCATGGACTCCAGCAGCTGCCGGATGTGTTCCTTGGAAGATTCCACTTCCTCCTCCAAGCGCAGCCGGTCCGACACGGAGAAGAGCTCTGAGTCCCGGCTGTCCTGCAGGAAATCCTCGTAGTGGGCCTGCAGGCTCTTCAGGGCTTGCTGACACTCCCCCTGGGCCAAGGATCTGAGCTGTGAGTGGAAAAAGAGGCACACGCAAACATCAGGAACAACTTCCTGCACACCAACTGAACTGCCTTCATTTGCCCAAGGAGAATTTTCAAATCCTCTCTATTGGACCCGTGCCTCCCTCCAGCTGTGCTCACTCCCTAATGAAATGCTCAATCCACCATCTCTCAGCAGCAGCAAACTCCTGATCCTCTTTTTCTTGGGAAAAGCTGCAATCCTTCTGCACAGCACCCCCAAACTCAGGTTTTCAAGGTGTGACTTGTTCCCCTTTTCCCCATTGCTGTAAACTGAAACCCTTTTCAAGGTGTGCACTGTTCCAGGTGTAAAGATCCTTGATTTCCCCAGTCTTGCACTCCCTTGCACTCCTCTTTGTGGCCACACAGAGAAGCCTGGAGAGCAGCAGAACCCCAGAACCAGGCAGGGAAGCTCCCCTGTACCTTTTCCAAGCTGAAGCTCTGCACCAGGGCTATGTCCTTCCTCAGGTAGTTCCAGGAGATGAGGCTCTTTGTGTTCATGTGGAGCTGGTGCCAGAGAGCCATCACTTTCTGGTACAGCTGCTCCACCCTGCAAGGGGAAAGGACCAGATCCATCAGCCCTGGATCTTCCCAGCAAACACAGCCTGACCCTGTGAATCCCCCAGCTCATCAGTCCAGTGACCCCAGAGTGGCAGCATGCAGGGAGCGATGCTCCTGCTGTTCAGTGCCAGACATCCCTGCGGGGATCCCTCCTCCCAAATTGTCATTTTTTTTCATTTTGCAAGCTACTGCAGCTTGCAGAAAAAAACCTCTCTGCAGTAGAGTTTGCAGCTGGAGAACCATGAGGGATTATTTTCCTCACCCCAAACAACTTTCATACCTCCGTCCCCACTCTCTTCCCATTCCCACCCCAAATCTGTCCCCTCCCATGCCACCATCCCATCCCTCCGTGACTGTCACCAAGTTACCTGTTGGCCACCTCGATGGCCTCTTTGTTGGGTGGGGGGATCAGGAAGCAGACAGAAGGCACCATGGCCTCGTTCCCCGTGGGGCTGATCACCTTCCACTTGGTCCTCTGGGAATTGTCCTCCAGGACACACTCGTCGTTCCTGCAGATGGTGATCTGCAACAGCACCAGCACCAGGAGCCCGTCAGAAACCAGCAGCAGGGCCCTGCTCACCTGCCCCTCTCCTGGGGGTGAGCCCAGCTCCCAGAAATTCACAGATGGATGGGTTTGAATGGAGCAACAGCCTGGAAGGGTGCCAGGCAGTGCGGCAGGCTCGTGCCGGGAGAGGAAGGGACAAGGAAGCTACAGGGAGTTGGCTGCCACCCACGTGCTTGTTTGGCTGAGGGTGATGAAGCCCATCCTCCTTGGAAGGGGAAAGGACTCCAGCTCCTGCCCAGAATAAATCTGAGACACGGAAATCTGCTCCAGGAAAAACACTCCTGCTGTTTCCCTCCCCCTGCCTTCCCACTCCGCTCCTGCTTTCCACTGACAGATCCTGCAGCGCTCATCCTAAACCACCTTGTCCCTGCCTTCCCTTCCCAAGGGCCACTGTCGGAACTCAAAATGTCCCTCAGGCATTTTTGGAGGTTCCAGACCCAGGTCAGAAGCATTTGAGACCCTGGCAGGCAGCTGGAAACAGCTCTGATTTTGGGTTTGAACCATGGAATTATTTATCAACTTTGCAGGAAGAACAAGAAGTCACAAAAGTTTAGATATTAGAGTAGAAGTAGTCACAAAGTAGAGGGAAGAATTTTTGAGTGCTGTACAGGGGGGTTTTGGTTTTGTACATGGGGGTCAGAGGTTTTAAGATGGATTTAGGATTTGGGCCTGCCCTGTCCTCCCTCTTTCTCCTTCCTTACCTCCATGTTCTTGGTGATGTTGGCACTCACGGATTGGTTTAGAGTAGAAAAGCACTTTGTAATATAGGTAGTAGGTATTGGAGAAAAACTGTAAACATGTAACACGTAATGTACCATATAAAAGATAACAGTGGCCCAGGTGTGGGGAGAGAGGAGAAGATGAGAGTCAGAGAGGATGTCAGGGTGTGTGTGTGCCTCTGCCTGAGCTGTGAGCAAACCACAGCAGCCCAAGGAGAAAATCTTTTAGGTAACTTGCAATAAACAACCATGAGACTGAACAAGAAGAGACTGCTGAGCCTTTCTTTGGAAGCACGGCTTGGAGGAGAAGGTTTTTCACCACATGAAGCCACCCTTGACCTCGGGTGGTCCTGGAGAGGCCTGCAGCCCCCTGCAGCCCTCACCTCGATCTGCCGGTAGTCGCAGACAGCCCTGATGGGGATGGTGGTGCTCCTCACAGCCTGCTCAGGGTTCCTGGGCCGCAGCTGCACGATGCTTTTGGACCGTCCCACCAGGCTGGCCACCGAGCTCTTGGACTGGATCAGCTGCTCCTTCTCATCCTGGCAGGGACAAGGAGGATGGGATGCTCAAATTTGGCGAGGGGAGGTTGGTCCCGGGTGTCTCAGCTCACCCCCCACCCCAGCGCTGGCCTGCAAGGGCTGAGCAAACACGTCAGGAGCATCCTGCTGCCCTGGAAGGGTGGGAAGAGGGCTCAGGAGATGGGATGGGACGTCACTGCTACTCCCACTGCCCTGCAAAGCCACATGCACACCTCTGGCTCTCTGGCTGGTAGGACAAGAAAACGTTTTCTTTCAAAAGGGCAAAAAAAAATAAAGAGAACACAACATCCACCAAAACAACGTCCCAGCAGCTGAGAGGGGCCGAGAGCAGGACAACGTCCAGCCCAAAGCTGGTTTAGCTGCCTGGAGGAGAGCCCAGGGAAGCATGCTCCCTTCTCTAAAGCAAAGGATGAAGGGGTGTTTAAACAAGGGCTGGAATGGGAGGCGATGAATTATGGGGATAAAACATCTCAGGAGAAAGGGGCTCGGGGTGCAGCGACCGCACAGGCCTCCGGCTGTGGGGAGAAATCTGCCAGCTGGAGGTCATTGATTCCTACAGATCCCTGCTGGGTTTGGTGATGGCACCAACCCGGGGGGAATGGTGGCAAAGGTGCCCTGGAACAGCCTCTGGCACCGTGGAGACGTGTGCGGATCACGACACTGGCAGCTCGTGTGATGAGTGACAGCTCAGCCCCTGCTGGCTGTGGCAAAGGTTTCAAAAAGGAACAAAAAAAAAAAAGGAGCCCAGAAAAGGTTCTCCCTCATGCTCGGTACTCTGGGGTTGGTTAGTGTGCTAGGACAGTGGAGGAGAATTTAATGGTTAAAAAAAAAATCAATCAAATCAAATTAAATTAAAATAAAAGAATAAATGATTAAATAAACTACCTGTGCCTGTCCCAGGGAGCATGATTGGAAGAAATACAACTTTAACTTATTAGGTAAGAAAGAGTACTATAGCTGAGCTCAGGGCAGCTGCCCCAGTCCTGGGTTTGTGGCCACTCTCTGGCTGCCCAGAACAGCCTCTCCCACCCCAGGTGGCACCTGCCAGACTCCTGATGGTCCAGGGCTCCCAAACACAGACCCCAGGAGCCAGCCTGGCTCTCCATGTCCTGGCAGCACCAGAGACAGGCCAGGACAACCCCGAGACCGTGACAGAGAGGATGGGGGAGCCCCCAGGCCTCCAGGAGAGAAGACAGTGCTGATGCACCCATCACCCCCGGCAAGGGCACCCCAGTGCCACTGGGGACACCCTGATGTGCACATCTTAGTGACCACTTGCCTGCACTGCTCAGTGTCACCTTCTGACCCTGCCACCACAGCTCAGCACTTCAGCCACAGCCCAACTCCTCCCCTGACCCTGGTGTCAAACACCAGCTGATGCTTTGCTCCTTAGGGGTTGGTTTTAAGTTGGTTTTTCTCAAGCCAAATCAGGCAAGAAGGTGACAGTGCCACGGGCTGGGCTCAGCTCAGCTAAGCCAGGCCACGTGCTCAGAGATCAGCCCCTGGCACAGCCCGGCTGCCCTGGCTCTCCCTCATCCAGCAGGATGGATTAGCACGGGATTTAGGCTGGATAAAGAGCAGGCATTTCTCCACCAGCTCCAAAGCAGAACCAGGAGCATCCTAGAGGCGCTGCCTTTGTGCAGGATGGGCTTGGCTGGGGCAGGAGCAGCTCACACGTCGGGCTGTGACCTTGCACAGCCAGCACAGGCTGCCTGCTCCTCACCCTGAGGACACACAGAGAGGTCAGATGGTGCCTCTGAATGACAGTGACCAGCTCCAGCTACACCACACAGCCTGCAGCTCGTTCAGCAGCTCCATGGGAAAACAAATCACGGCAGGAGGTGGAACACAAACCACATCCCACCAAACCGCGGGGACAAGGGGCCCAGCTCTCCCTGGAGAAGCAAGAGGTGTCCCAGGCAAGGCTGCTGGAGCAGAGCAGGGTGGTGAGGTCAGAGAACCCACCATGGAGTCCTGCAGGAGGTCCTCCAGCCGTGTCAGGCTCGTGCTGTGGTCGCAGGAATATTTCCTTTTGATAGAGTCCTGCAGGTTCCGCAGGTATGTCTCCGACTCGCGGGCGTCGCTGAAGAACTGTGGAGGCAAAAAGGGTCACAGGGACCTGGACAAGACCCCTGAGCAGCCTGAAGGCAGGCAAGGAGCACCCCAAAGGCTCAGCCAGCAGCTCCTGACACCGCTCTGGCTTTAGGGCTGCAAGGGCAGGATCGTCCCAGGTGGATGAGCAGAACTACAGGGAAGCCGATCCCTTTTCCCCCCCCCTACAAATACCCAGGGAGCAGCTAACAGACATTCCAGAGAAAACACAAATCCCTCCTTCCCTCTCCAGCAAGGACACCAGCAGCATGAGCAGCTCATGGAGTGGGATTCAGCAGATGGCACCGAGGGAATTTGGCCCCAAATACCTGGAAATAGGCAGCGTTCTCCTTGACGTGCTGCTCCACGCACAGGCAGAGCTGCTTGATCCACTGCCACTGGGTGTGCACAGCAGCACTGTAGGCCTGTGGAAAACACAGAAAAGGGCACTGGAAAAGGGCATTCACAGACAGGAGGGGCACAGCAAGGACACAGGAGATGGAGGGAGGGACAGAAATGACCAAAATCTGGCTGCAGCCAGGAGGGCTTGGACACAGGACATGGCACTCTGTCTCAGTGTCCCCATGTCACCCACGATGCCAGAGGCAGGAACAATTTTGCTTTTACCCTGTGGAAAAAGTTCCCACAGCCTTTTGCTTCACCACCACAGTGTCCCTGGAAGCCTGGATGACTCCAGGGCAGCCAAGACCATTCCCTGCATCACCTCTCTGTGGGAAAAGCTCACGCTCTGCGTGTTTGTGTCTTAATTTGAGGTGTGATTATTTGGGAACGGCCCCTTCCCAAAATTAAAAAGCTCCACCACTGCACTGATGTCTTGCCACCACAAAACACTTCCTCAGGCCCTGTGGGGTGGGGCAGTGAGTCTCCCAGTTGCAGATGGGGTGATCTGATCCTTGGGAACCCCACAGCTCTGCCAGGCTCCTGCTCACCTCCACGGTTTGCTTGGCCGGGTGGTTCTCCAGGGAGAGCAGCTCAGCCGTGTCCTGGAGGGAACGGAAGATGTCCTGCTTCTCCTCCAGCTCTGCTGTCAGCTCCTGCAGGAGGGAAAGTCCAAATCTCAGCTCTGGGACCTCGCTCAGACCTTGTGTCCAACTAACACAGCGTGCCAGTGGATGCCAGGGAATCCAGCACAGCACCACAGCCCCAATCCCAACAGGAATCTGCCTCCTGTGGGCACTGGAAACCCGCCCAGGGACCTCTTCACACGGTGTGATTGTGGAAAGATGGGAATTTGTTTATACTGCTGTAAAGAGGAATTAATTTTCCTCTTTGGCTCAGACTTAACCTCCCTCGCCCCCACCAGTTCAAGATGCCTTGAGCTCCAAAATAATGCTAAAAACACATCTTTTGATGCCTTTTTGATCGCAATTCAATTGAACACACACGTTCATTGCACTTTCTGCTCTGGGGAGAGCTTCCATCAGCTCTGTTCAGGAGCAACAAAGCTCAGGGAGCTGGGAGGGAGCATCCAGCCTCGGGATGTCGGGTCTGTTTGGAGCTGAGGGCTCCACAGAGGACCAAAAGCAGCACCTGCCCTGCCAGCACTCACCGAGAAGTAATTCTTCTTGGCTGCAATGTTGGGGTTGTTGTCACTCCAGTCGTAGGCCAGCTCCTCCTCCTCCTTCTCATTCAGCCAGATCAGCTCAGCAGTGGCCCGGGACACGAATCCATGCAAGCTCTGCAGGTGCCTCAGCCTGAAGCTCGAGGTTTCCTGGGCACAAAGAATGGTTTATCATTCCTCCTCCCTGCCCTGTGGCTGATGGGTTTCTGCCCCTCTGCCCGGGCTCCCTGGCAGTGCTCACCATCAGCTTGCAGTACTGAGTCTCCAGCTTGCCCAGCGTCTCCGTGTAGCTTGCGCGGAAATTCGGAGACATTTTACCCTGCAGGATGAGAAACGCTCCCGTTACCCATCACAGGGCAGCACCACTCGGAGCCCCATCCCCAAATCTTCCTCCACAGCTCTGCGTGAGGAAGGGGAGGGTGGAGAGGATGGCTCAGGGCAGCACTGCATCAACTCAGAAGCTCCATCCTTAAAAAATCACCTCTGTCCCAAGAAAGTGACCCACAAGAGCTGATCCTAACGCCCCTCATTCCCCACGTGGGGCCATGCCTGGTGTCCCCACCATACCTCATACATCCTGGCCTCCTTCACGCTGGAGCCCAGGTCCTCCACGCTGGCATGGATGTGCCTCTGGGTCTCCAGCTGGGATTCCACGCTCGGCAGGTCGGTGCCCCACTCTGCCCGCTCCAGCCTCATCTGAAACCAAGAGGCTCAGTCAGCACTGCTCATTCTGCTCTCAGAGGGACGCCAGGAATCCTCCCAGGCCACCCCAGAGGGAACAAACACCTCCCAGTCTTGGTAGAAGATCCTAAGCCAGTGCTCCAACACTGAATTATTTCTGGGACAGCCCACACAAGCTTCCCACCCACGTAAGACCAAGTGTCTGCATCAGCACAGATCTGCTTCCAGCTTTGAAAGGCTCCCACTGGCCAGCAGTGGGGATCAGAGAGAAACTGATCCCCAGTTTCTCTCCGGGGAGAAAGAGAGAAAACCCAGAGAGAAGAGAAAAAAAAGAGAGAAACCCCAGCTCCAGACAGAAGCCTCAGATCTCCAAAAACTACAACCCATCAAAGCAACCATTCGCAGATAAAGGCAGGAAAAGGCCTGGGGCAGCTTCCCACATCACAGGCAGCAGGTTTGGCCCAGCACTCACCTGCATCTCCTCCACCCAGGCCAGCAGCTCGTAGACGAAGCGGAGGCTGCCTTCATCTTCGGAGGAGGAGATGGCCACCAGCTCCGTCCTGGTCATCGGCTTCCGGAACCAGGAGGCCGAGGAGGTGTGGAGCCCCTTGGTCAGGGACTCGCCCTTCAGGTGCGTGGTGCTCGGCGTGGACGTGGGCACCAGCTCCAGGGTGGAGAAATGGCCTTTCCTGTACAGGTTGGTGCACTCCAACCTCAGCGTCACCAGCTCGTCCTGCAGCCTCATGATCCTGGGGGAGCGAGCAAGGAGAGGGTGAGGAGATGGACACCACACGGAGCAGATGTGCAGCCCCTGAGGAGGCTTCTCCAAGGTCACCTTGTCAGCGTTCAGGAGCACACAGAATCACGGGATATGATTCCATGCAGGTGCTTTAATAAGAGCTCTGGGAGTCGGGGTACAAACCCAAATCTGACTCCGACACGGCTTTCGAGCTGAACGTATTTTATATCCTATCGTTATATAACTTACATATTAATTATTAAACTTATATTGTTCTGTTGTATACATTGACATGAGTTTCTCTCGTGGTATTTCTTAGGTCCCTGACCAGTTTCTCATGATTATTCTTACATTTAACTTACATATTAATGATTATATTGTTCTATTGTATACATTGACATGAGTTTCTCGTGGTATTTCTTAGGTCCCTGACCACAGTTTCTCATGATTATTCTTATGATTAAACAGTAATTATATTTAATTACTAAACAATCATCCCATCTAACAAGTCTATCATTTCTCATGTACAAGTGCAGTTCTAGCAAGCACAACTTCTCCATGTGCTAAGGGTGTTTATTTTTCCAGAGCCTACTAAGCTTAATTTTCCTTTTCACCCAAAATCCCCATGATTTTAAAACCCTTTTGCCATCAACCTGAACACCAGCTCCTCCAGCTGGTAGTAGTTCTCGTCACGGAGGATCTGCACGTCCACCTGGAGCTGGCGGAGGAGCCCCTCGCACTCCTGCAGGTACACCACCACGTCGGCCTCGTACTGCACTGGCTGGCCCGACTCCAGCTGAGCAGCGTCCTGAGGGGACAGGGGACACTCAGGGCCACGTCCCCTCAGCCCAGGAGGGGCAGGCAGAACGTCACAGCAGCCCAGCTTGGAGATGGAAACACCTCTGCATCCTCAAGCGTAGCCGGAGCAGAACAGGAATCCATCCCCCCACACCACAGCCAGGACAAACCCTTCAGAAAAATTTCTATTTGTGGAAGCTTCCAGTTCATCTCCAGATGGGATCACTGTTTTTAGCTCCCAACCCTTTCAACCAACATCTCTTTCTCCCATAACAAAGAAAATCTCTTCAGAAACCAGCTCCCTACACAGGGTCTGCCACTGAGTCCACCCGGCAAATAAATCAGATTTTGGGGGTTTTAAGCCTCATTATACAACAAAAAATAGTCAGCAAGCTTCTCCAGAAGTGCTGTTCTCCTCCACACCATCCCCATCTGCACCTCTGCAGATGTCTAGCCTCACTTGCTGCATTCCCAGAGACAAGACCATTCCCCATGTCCCTGTCCTCAAGGTGATCTGTGGATCACCAAATATCCACCACCACCCCTACAGCACCTCTGGGACAGGCTCAAGGGCTGAAAAGAAAGGAAAACATTCCAGGGGAACCCATCACCCCAGGCAAAAGAGAGGAGAGGAGATGGGTAAAAAAAAAGAGTAGGAAAACAAATAAATCAATAAAATCAGGAGTGAGAAACCCCACTCCCCACTCACAGCCTGTAGCGTGTTCTTCGCCAGGGTGAGCTTTTCTTCACAGCTCAGAGCACCATTCTGGATTTTGTTGGCGATTTGTAGCAGCAATTCCAGCCTGGAATGACAGAGGGAGGTGAGAGAGGGGTTTTGGATGTCCCCCCGGGCAGAGGGAGGAGCAGGGGATGTCCCTGCCTGGGCACAGCACCGACCTCTCCACCGCTGGCCGCAGGAGCTTCTCGCGCTCCAGCATCTCGATGATGAGCTTGCCCCACTCCTCCTCCACATCGTTGGGGTGGTAGCCCTGGGGCAACTTGATGCGTCCAAATTCAATCCAAACCTGGGGGAAACATCAGCAGAATGGCATTTCCCACCTCTGCCTTGAGCTGGCTGGGGATTCCAGCGAGGGAAGAGAGGCTCTGCCTCCGCTCCCGCCGTGCGCTGCTCGCTGCCTCCTTTATCCTGAGGGGTATCCCCACTTCTCCACTCCAAAATAAACCTGAACTGAGCAAGTTCAGCCTCGCTAAAAAAGCACAACATGCCCACCTACCAGCCTCTGGGCAGCCACGATGAGCCTCACCTCTAGCAGTTTGTAGAGCTCCTCTATCTGTCCTTTCTCCTGCTCTTTCGCTGGGATTTCAGTTTCTTTGAAGTGTATGTACTGGTTATAAAGTGCCTGGGATGAGAAAGGCTCATCAGGAACCACCCTGGGGAGTGCCACCACCCTTCCCTCAGCACTGGACACACTGAGGAGAGACTTGTGCAGCACCTACCTTTAGCTCTACAGGGTTCTGGGGGAAGGATTTGTCTGACATGAGTATCGTGTGCTGCTTGATCCACGAGATGAGGGACTCCACACGGGTCTGGTACTCCAGCCACCTCGAATCCACCTCCTGTGGGGTGAGAATGTCTTTGCAAGCACTGCTGGTGGGCAAATCACAGAAGGGACTGAGGTGCCACAGACAAGCTACAGGGTGGATCATGTGTCAGGGCCTCCCTGCTGTGATGCCACCCCAGGTACAGAGAGGAGGAGGAGGAGGAGGATCCTCCTTGCCAGCTGCTCTGTGGAAATTCAGCTTTTTTCCTGCAGGAAATCTTAGGAACGGCCTCTTCCCAAAATTAAAAAGCTCCACCACTGCACTGAGAGCCTGTGCAGAGCTGTGGCCTTACAGACACGCCAGCAGGTCACAGGGCAGACACCATAATGGGGCCTTCCTCCCTCTCCTCAGCCCTTTTCCACAGGGAACAGAGCCTTTCCCAAACCCTCCCCACAGCCCCCAGCTGCCTCCCAAATGCCCATCCCAGCCCCCCAGCCCTCAGCAGTGCTTACGATGGCGCTGATCCCTTCTCCTCCCTCGGGGACTTTGGGAAAGGCATCGTAGATTGAAGACACGTAAGTTATCACGGATTTCTCATCCGGAGAGGGAACGTCCACGTCTGGCAGGAGGGAAGCAGAAAGGCAGTGAGGAAAGGGAGTGGGAAGAGAGGCTGGCACGTCCCCGAGCTGGTGACATGCCCTGGCCACCCACCTTCGGCGTCCAGCAGCCGTGTGACCCCCAGGCGCTCGGCGATCTCGAAGGCCTGCTCCAGGTTCTCCCGGTTACTCTGCAGCTGCACCCTCTCCATGTCCACCAGATCTGGCCTGCAAGACACACCTCAGACTCACAACCAGCACCAGGTGGCCAGGGCAGAGCATCCAGAATGGGCACTGCTGCCACGGGTGGCTCTGAGCCCCTGTCCCAGGGTGGTGGCTCTCCAAGGGGACCTGGGCTGCAGGACTTCCCTGTCTCATCCCCTTTGGGAAGGGGGTTCAGGCTGCAAAGAAAAACCTTCCCAGCTGAGGAAGGAGGAGCCAAGAGAGGTTTAGCTGCTGTTTGGGAGACCTCCAAGAATCTGGGATAAAAGCATGGATGGAAGTGCTGCTGTTCATGGAGAGCTAAAGGGCAGCACTGCAGCACTCATGACTTTAAAAGCTTTTCTTTTCTGCCTCTCTCCTCAACGTCATTAAGATCTTTTTTCCCTGCAACCTGATGTATCTTTTTGCTCATTCCAAGCATCCCCCCTCCACAGCTACCTGGCAGAAGAGAGAATTCCAGGTGAAAAAGACATTGCCAGCCTCACCCACCTCTCCAAGCACTCCAGCCCATCGCTGACCACAGCAGTGGACAGAGACCCCTGGGAGATCCCCATCCCTCATGACACTCCCCCATTGCTTCTTTCTGCCCACCTGTATCTGTGGATGAGGGCGTTGAACATTTTGCCATCGCTCCAGCAGGAGGAGAAGTTGGTGCATTTCAAGCCGATGTAACCTGCTGTCACCTTCTGTGTCCACAGCAGGAGCTTCTCCTTGGCTGACATATCCCCCAGCTCCCCGCTGATGTAGATGTCAGAGATCTGGAAGGAAGCAGCACAGCCATGGGAGGATGCAGGAGCAGGGAAACCTCCAGCAGGCACATCCAGCTTCTGTGAACTTGCCCCAGACCTGGCTACCAGAAAGGGCAGGAGGCAACTTGTGCTCACCACGGGGGAGAGGGGATCCTGCGGCCATGGAACTGGGGAAGGGGGTCACAGGACCTGCAGGGTGGGGTTTGGGCAGGCTGGAGATCCAAGCAGGCAGAGCCAGACGTTTTCTAACCCCGTTTCACAGGTGCTGCTTGGCCACACAGCCCAGCCCAGCTGCGACACGAGCTGACAACCCCAAAGCCACCAGGGCCGCTCCCTCCACACCATCCCTGTCCCCACAGACAGGGACACACCTCACTGGGAACACAATGTCCTGGAGAGAGGAGGCTCCTGGCAGGTCCCTTCCTGCCTCTCCCTGCTCCAAACACACCGTGCACCCTCCTGTACCCCCTGCCCAGCACCCACCACGAGGAGCCCCAGCACCCTCAGACACCCAGGGCTCCCTCAGGAATAGCCACTGCCCCCCGGCAGCACCCGGGGTGGGCAATGAGAAGGGACCACCACCAATATCTGTTGTTGGGGCTGCAGGTGTGGCAGGGGAGCTCCACCTGGAGCACCCCATTGTAAAAAAAATCCCAACTTCAGGAGCGAGAAAGAGAGAGGAGATCTCTCCCTGACCTCCAGCCACAGAGCAGCTCCATGCTGGGGGAAAAGGGAAGGATGGGGAGAAGGATGTGACATCCCCCCTGTGGCTCGCTGGTGCCAGGGGTGCTGTGACCCAATTCCCAACAAAAGACAGCGACAGTCACGGACCCCTCAGACAGGGCTGGCTGCGAATCCCAGACTGGCACGTGACGCCACGCACGTGTCCCCACATGCCAGCATATTCCTGATTGGCACGGCTTCCTCCTCACCCTCCCCTCTCCAGCTCCCCACTTAGAACAATTACCTCCCCTTAATTAAGGGGAGGACAAAGAGGAGGATGGGAGCCACTCGGATTTTTCAGGGTGCCCACGGAAAGGCAACACAGGCTGTTTGCTCCCTGATTCCTCCTCCCGGCGCTGCAGGGTGCAGGTGTGCCAGGACCCAGCCCTACCCACCACCCTGAAAACACCCAAATCCCTCCCCAAAACAGGCTCAGCTGGGTGCTGGCACCGCTCAGGTCCATCCCTTTGCAGGCTGGAGACAGGGACCTGCGGGATTATCCCTCTCGGCGGGGCGGATGCTGCCGGTGTCATTGGTATGCTGCAGCTCACCTCCCTCTCCAGCCCGATACAATCCTCACACATCAAACTGCTCTTTGTCAGCTGCTGCCACACTGCTGGAGCTGCCTTTAACTCCTCCAGCCCCGGGGCTGCCTTTCCCCAGGGATGTCGGGAGCCCAGCAGAGCCGGGATAGATGGGATGATGTGCTGGCTGAGCAGCAGGATGCAGGATGGGACCCTCCACGCCTGCAAGGAGCAGGGGAGGACCCACAAAGCTGCCTCTGCTCAGCACCTCTTTATTAATTACCTGATGGCTCTCAATTAAGGGCAGAATTGAAGCCTTCTGTGAACCCACCCACCAGCTGTGCCCCACCCGGGCTCTCCAGCAGTGCTGCCCATCCAGGAGCACCTCACAGCACCCAGATCTGATAAATCCTTTATTTTTAATCCCTGGCACAGCACTGGGGTTCTCCAACCACTGGGCCTGTTCCCTGAGAGCATCCTTGAAGGAAACTCTCCTGGAGATGTGCCTATGGAGGTGCAGGGTGCGGCAGCAGCTCCACCCTCCTTTCTTCACACGTCTGTGACAGGACAAAGATTTAGGGAGGCACCAGCAAGAAAAGAGAGTGGAAACTCGCAGGACTTGGGGCCAAACCCTTCCAGAATCAGCTCTGTGCATCAAGCAACTGGTGGCAGGATGCTGAAGGCCACATGGTGGCTGTGACAGTGGTCCCAACCTGGCAAAGGCATCAGGGCCACAGCCCCTCACACCACACGCTTGTCCTGGGGCATTCACAGCTTGACCAGACCCCAGGGCACCTTTGCCCACGCTGTCCCCCCCACAAGAGTGACCAACAAACAGCAACAGGCTCCGAAACACAGCATCACCCCCTCCTGTTCCTCCTGGAGACCCTCAAAGCAGGCAGAGCCCCCATGTCTCCATGTTCATCCTGCACGGGCAGCACGAAGGGGACACCCCAAATTCACACCCTGAGGGCACGAGTGGCACTGGTGACAGCAGCCACTGGATCCCACAGGGACTGTCACTCCCAGCCTGCCTGTGCCAAGAGCAGGGAACAGATCAGGTCAGTCCCCAAGGGATACTTTCCCAGTGGAGATGCTGAAGGGGAAAAGCTTCAGGAGTTTTCTTCTCCAGCATCCTGCCACCCCTCCCTGCTCAGCATGAAGTTGCCCCTTGCCAAAATGACCGTGCCCAGGAGCCACCAGGATTTGGGGTCCACTGAGCCAGGTTCCCCCACCCCGCTGCGGAAAGGGGGCGAGGGCACACTCACACACTGACCATTGCTCCGGCCGTCCCCGAGCTCCCCCTCCAAGCCCGGCCCTCCACAGCGAGCCTGAGGCCACCATCAGAGGGTGACACCGTGGTCCCACCAGCTCCTGTGCCCTTGGCCGGCCGGTCGCTGCCGTACCCCGAGGAGCTCCGGGCCGCGCTGCCGCTGAAGGAGGACGGGCTGCGGGAGGCCGGCAGCCCGTGACCGTCTCCCTCCCCGGCCCCAGACGACGACGACGGCAACCCCGAGCTTCTCCCCACGCTGGGGTTTTCCAGCTGATCCACCATGGGGGACGGCGTGGACAGCTCGGACACGGTGCCCGGCTCCGCTGCGGAGGAGCAGGTCCAGGCGGCGCTGGAGCTGGGATCATCGCTGCCTCCTCTCCCCCGGGCATCCAGGGCGCTGCCGGGCATGGCGCCGGCCGGGGACAGGAGTCCCCCGGCACGGCCATCGCTCCCCGCTGGCAGCGGCAGCAGCACGGCCCGGCAGCTGCCGCTCCTGTGCAGCTCGACCAGCCGGCTCACCGCCTTCTCGCAGTCCTTCTCGGCCGGGTTCTCCAGCAGGCGGGCGATGACGGTGGTGCCTTCCTCCCGGGCAGCTCCCGCCGCCACACCCGGCCGCTGCGGCTCCAGCACCAGGCGTGCTTTCTGCACCTCCCCTTGGAAGCGCTCCTTCACCTGCACGATGATCCCGGGGCGCAGCGCCGCCGCATCGGGGTCCCCGCTGCAGGACCTGCTGCCGGGGGGTTCCTCTCCTCCATCCTGCCCGGGGGCTGCCTTCCACTTGGGCGCCTCCTCATCCTCGGCCGCCTCCAGCGCCGGCGGCTCCTCCTGCGGGGCTGCCTCCGGCATGGCTCTCCTCTTCCCTCTCCGCCTCCGTTTGAAGCGCACCCTTTTTTTGGGAGACAGCGGTGCCTTCCCCGCGGCTTTTTCCTTCTGCTCTTTAACGCAGCCCAGCGAATTGCCCATGTCCTCCTGCTCGGTGCCGGCAGGAAGGCAGCAGAGCAGGCGGCCGGCTCCCGAATCAATCCCGAGCCGGGCTTCATCCGTCCAAGCGCCCGGCGCGCAGCGCTCCGCCGGCTGCCCCTTGTCGCCGTCCCCTCCCGCCAGCCCTGCCGCCACCGCCGCCGCTCCAGACAGCCATCTTACACTGCCAGAAGACAAATTCAAAGCATCTCACTGCAGTTCAGAAATCACTTGACCTAAAAGCAGAGGGAGCGGGGATTGGCTGCGGCGTCCTTCTCTCCAAATATGAGGTAATTGGAGCACGGCCCTCGCCAACACAAACAGGGGCGCAGGAATCAGGCAGCGGAGCGAGGAGGGGAGTGGGAGAGGGTGGGGAAGACGGGGATGTAAAACACAAAACCTAAGGAAGGTTGGCAAAGGTAGAATAAAGGAAGGGGTGGGAGAGAAATGGGAAGAAAAAAAAAAAAAAAGCAGGGAGGAGTCAGAGTGACTCTGCATGCTCGCCAGCCGGCTCCGCAGGGCTGTTTCTCTCCAGTTCGGAAGGTTTGCTCCTTAATTCCTGATTCCGGGAGCTCCAAAAGCCCAACTCGTGTGCTCACGCTGCTGCCAGGCTCAGCCAGTTTGGCACAGATGGGCACAGAGGTGCCCTGGAGACCCAGCATCGCTCCAGGGAGCTGCAGGCAGAGGCTCCCAGCAGGAACGGGAGCGTGATGCTGCCCATCCCAGTCCGGCCCCAGTCCTGCCTCTCTCCTGTGGGTCCTGCCCCAAACACTGCCCAAGGCAGGGGTTTGAGGAGCACGGAGCACCCCAACTCTGCCTGCCAGCTCAGAGGGACCAGGGTAGGGTAACACGCACCAGAAGTGGGGGTGAGACAAAAATTGGGGAGTAGGGGACATAAAGATGGGGAGACTGAGCTCAGCCCCAAGAAAGCAGGGAAACATTCAATGAGGAAACACTCAGCAGGGAGCAATCCAGAAGATGACTAGGGGAAACCAGCGACCACAAGAGCTCCCAGGGCACGGGGAAAAGCCCCCAGGGCAGCAGAGCACCCTCCTCATCCTCACCACACTGAGCCTGAGCTCCACATCAGCACCATCCCACCCCAAAGCTCTCCCAGGGCTCTAGCTGCCTGCCCCCAGGCAGCAGCACTGGGAGATTAAGAGGTTCACAATGGAGCCACAACCCCAGAAAAAATCCCGTTAGCGCAGCGGGAGCAGCCAGCACCGTCCTGCTCCTGTGTCACCCGCCCTGTCCCCCACGCCAGGGTGGCAGTGTCCCCTCCCAGCCAGGCATGGAGGGGACCCAGAACCTCCTGATGTCCCTCTCCTGCATGCACCAGGGCTGGCTGACCACAAGGACAGCAGGGACAAGATGCCACAGCCAGGGCCCCACTGGGATGACCGTGACTCATCAGCATCCAGAGCCTGCTCGACCCCGGCTGCTTCCCAGGGAAAAGCCTGGGAAAAGCCTCGTCAGCAGCCTTACACACAGCTCAGCCCCATGCTTCCCCCAAAATCCTCTCCCTGAGGCACTGCCCATCCTCCAAAAAATACAGTCTTCCAGCACAATTTTCCTTAAGAGTCTCAAATCCAGCACGAGTCCTGGCTGGAAGATGCCAGCAGGGACAAGGCAGGGAGCTGGGATGCAGCAAATCCCATAAGTTGGGGCCCACAGAGCTGCTGACAGCAGCACTGCCCAGCAAACCCCAAATGCCAACTCGCTGATGGCCACACGTCACCCCCCTGAAGCCATCAGAGTTACAATCGGATAATTTGAAGCTACTAAAGACTCAAAACTTGCTTTTCCAAGGGCAGCTCTAGCACACAACTGCTGGAGACAGTCCCAGGTCAGGGCACTTCTCCCATCCCTGTGCTGTCACCCAGCTGACACATTCCATCCCAGTGAAAACTTCCCAAAAGGCCAGGAGTGCCTTGGGATAACAGCCTGTGGCCCCTTCCAAATTTGCTTTTCTCCTCCAGTGACTCCAGCTGAGCAAACAGCCACGGCCAACAACCCCAGGAGGCCACGGCACACAACCCATCATTAACGATTTCATTATGCAAATGACGAAGGGAGGCTGTTGCTGTTCCCCCAGCGTGGTCTCCATGACACTGCCATGAACCTCCAGACCCATCCATGTGCTGCCATCTCCATGGAAAATGCAGAAAACAAGGAAATAAGGAAATTCCACTGCCCCGGCGAGACGACGCGCTGCCGACGCCTGCCCCGCGTCCTCCGGCAAGAAAATTCCATGTCCTACCTGGAAGTGGAGGATGATGGTCCAGATGAGCCCCAGGGTGAGCTTGGGGTTGCCATCTGTGATGTCATCGTTGCGGATATTCACCAGTTTCACCTGGAAAAAAAAGAAAAACAGGGTTCAAGTTTCCCATCTCCGACGCGGAGAGCCGGGGCACGCGTCCCCACCGCGCTGTCCCCAGGGCCACCCCGGGCACTCCGGTGAGGAGCAGGCACACAGGAGGATCCCAGTGCTTCCCAAAGAGGCAGAGATGCCACCTCATCACCCAGCTCGGGGAGGATTTTTCCATGTTCCCAGCACTCTCCATCCAGAAGTGCTTTCCCAGCACTTAATGGCTTTACTTCAGCTCACAGAGCAGTGTCCCCGAAGCCCTGAGCACTGGTGCATAATTGAACAGCTACAGACCACAGGGAGTGGGGAAAAAGGGGATGACCAAGCTTGAACTTGGGCTCAAAACCAAGCCCTGATGAAGGCAGGAACACCCTTACTCCTCCCCTGGGGGAGTCCCCTCTCCCCAGCACTCCACAGGACCCCACGGATCATTCCCTGGCAGGAGTGTCTGGGGTAAGACATCCCAGCAAGGCCACCACACTTCAAAAAGCTGTTTTCATCCAAGTGGAGAAACAAGTTCCACAGAGCCCTTGGCAAAATGTCTCTGTCAAGGAGCTGAGGAGGAGGAGGAGGGGGGCTGGAAGCAGCTCACCCTCCCTGGAGTAGGGAATGTGCTCAAATTTATTCCATGCCCTCAGGCCAGCAGAGAGGGAGAAAAGTCTCTGCTTCAGCATGAACTGGTACCATTTATCATCATCATCATCATCACCTTGGAATATCTGGGAGCATCACGGTGGGGAGAACCTGACCCAACAGGCAGAACAGGACACCCAGCCCCTGGGGCTGTGGGGGTTCCACCTGCAGAGCCAACAAGTCTCGGGATGCATCCCATTGCTCCGGGCAGGATCTGCCCAGGGCTGTGCAGCTTGGCTGCTCTCAGGCACAGCTCCCAAAAGCCTGGTGGAGAGAGCTTCTCCTCCAAAAACCGAGGGATAACAAGACCATGCTGATATCCAGAGGGGTGGTGCCACACAGTGCCAGCCCCCAGGTCAAGGCTGTGTGGGCTGGGCAGAGCCAGCTGCCACATCACCCCAAAAGTTGGTGGGAAGGCACAGAGGTGCCACAGCTGCCCATGCCCACAGCAGGGATCTGCCAGGGAGCCTTTTGGGGTGCAGAAGTGACATTTGCCAGCCCCTTCTCAGAGCTGGAGTCAGGTCCCTTTTTCATAGTGGTTTTTGTGTGCAGGGGTGGCTTCCAGAGGCACAACACCCACAGGGGGAAAATCCCCTGAAATCCATCCTCCATCAGCACCACAGAGACACACCCCGTGCACAGGCTGCTTCTCGACTCCTTCCGAAGCTTCAGACAAAGACAAAGAACTGCACAAACCACCCAGCTCTGCTGGATGAGCTTTTATCAGCCCTTACCTGTCGCTGCTTCAGGAAATCCAGGGCAATCTGCACGTTCTGCAGGCGGTGGAAGCGCATCCGCCCCTTCTCACGTGGCTGCAAGAGACAACACAGCACTTTTAGGTCAGGCTCTGCTCCTGGGGCTGGGCTGGCAGCACCCCACATGCACAGTGACCCCACCCCGGGAGGTGCCAGCGTGCTGCTGTGACCCCCTGTGCCCCCACACGTCCTGCTCTACCTTGTTCTGGAGTAAATAAGGTCATTGCTCTGCACAGCCCTGCTGGGAGAAGGTTAAAATGCCCTGCTGGGAGGTGGAGGTGGGAAGATGCTGAGATCCAGACCCTGAGAGTCTGTGTCCAGGCCTGCCTCAAGCTCTGAGACCCCAGGGCAGGACCTTGCCCAGCTCATGGACAGCCAGGCAAGCTGGGCTCAGCAAAGAGGTGGACTCAGAACAGGTACAGAGTCCAGTTTGTGCAGGTGGAAGCAGAGGCAGGACAGGGGGACTCACTCAGGACAGGGGGACTCAGGACTGCAGGATGGCAGAGGAACCCTGACCTCAGCACCAGCCCCAGGTCAGCTGCTGCTCCAAGTACCTCTGAATCCCTTGGGAAGGGGCACATGAGACACCCTGGGCTTTGCCCATCTCTGCTGAAATTGAGGAATTTCCAGAGGTCTCCATCAGCTGAGCCACGGCCAGGGAAAGGGGATGGGAGGCTTTGAATCAGTGGGAGCAGCGACACCCAAAACCAAATCCCAGCCTCAAGACAAGGAATCACCAGGATGTTTGTGGAATCCCAGGGATTCCATGTGGATTCCCAGCAGAACAAACTGCTGGGACACCCCAAGTGCTCTGAGTCCCCTTCCTTTTCCAGCCTGAAGGGAAGAGCTGTCCCAGCAGGGGAAGAGCTGTCTTTCCAAGGGGAAATCTGTCCCTGGCAGGGGGGAAAACAGTTTGTCCCTGCCAAGGGGGAAAAATTTGTCCCTGCCAAGGGGAAAAGTTTGTCCCTGCCAAGGGGAAAATCTATCCCAAGGGGGAAATCTATGCCAAGAGGAATATCTATGCCAAGGGGAACTCCTCCAGGGCTGCAGGGGACCATCAGGAAGGTGCTAGAGCCCGCTGCAGGGAGGTGACACTGCACAAGGGCGTTGTCACCCCGAGCACAAGGGCTGACAAACACATCTGGGCACATTTCGGGCTCTGAGCCTCACCTGGGCTGTGCTGTGCTCGCTCCCACCCCCAGTCCCATGCAGGATCCCAGGAGGTGCCCGTGCCCAGGGCCTGTCCATGCAGTGCCAGGTGTGCAGGGACCCGTCGCTGTCCCCTCCCGCCCCGTGGAGGGGACACATGCTGTCACAGCGGGCGGTGGCGTGTCCTGCCTGCACGCTGCCCCGCAGTGCACGCCCAGACACAATCCAGGCAACACAGCCCTGCCCCAGCCTCTGATCCCAAACCCCACTGGGATGGCACTGGGTTGATCTGGTGGCACTGCCAGGGAGCTGCTGCGGCCGGGGCAGGCTCGACCTACTTCTTCATCATCATCATCTTCCTCCTCCTCGCTGCTGGCACGGCACCAGGCCGGCGCTGGCACCAGGCGAAGGCTCCGCTGAGCTGGTGGCTCTACGGGCTAAGGGTGGGGAGGGTGGCACGGCGGGGACACAGGATGGAAACCAAAATGTGACACCCAGGCACGAGGAGAAACGAAAATAAAAATAAAAAAAAACAAACAGCAACAGCACGGGGTGAAGGAAGCCGGGTCTCCGGAACACCCCAGGCTCCAGCACTGGAATTTCCTCCTGATTTTGGAAGCTGAGGAGCAGGAAGCTGTCTGGATCACGAGTAGAGTGATCCAAGTTTTCAGCCCCCACAAAATGCGATTTGGCGGCTCCGGAGGGTACGGAGGGACGTAGGAGATCTTTGCCCAGATCCTATTTTTGGGGGAAACTAAAATAATTCCTGCTGTGCTACGGCAATGGGGATCTTCCCAGAGCTGAGGGAATGTGTCAGTCAGTCAGGGAAGAGGAGGAGGAGGAGGAAGGAGGGGGAACTCTACGATGCTCCAGGCACCAATGACTGCCACAAACCCAGGAGCTGAGCATGAGGCAGGAGTGTCACATCTGAGACAAATTGCTGGGCACGCTGCCACAGAAGCAGTTTTGGGTCAAATTCTGCTGTTATTCATTATTTTAAATATGGAGCCAGATCTGGAAGGTGAAGGCGTGTAAAACTTGGCAAAAAGAGGGCTTTACCTAAGGCACCATAATCAGGTGAGAGACCAGCCTGGGGAACAGGGGTTTGAGTAAAAATAGATAAATAAAATATACAGAGATAAATGTAATAGCAAATAATAATCTTCATGATAATAAAAGAAACAATGACAGACATTTGAAACTGAAACCATGGGGTGAGAAAAGACAGCTGATGGCTGGGGGTGAAGGGGAGAAGGGAGAGGATGGAGGGGATTTAGGGGGAGTCCAAAATCCCTGCCCAGCCCTGAGGACTCACCAGCTTCACTCCCGACAGCACTTCCAGGAGGGAGATGAGGTTGTGACCATCTCTCAGGTCTTCATAGAGGTCATTGATGTGCTTGCGCACCTGGGGAGGGGAAAAGCCATCAGCGATGCCAAAATCATCACCACAAAAAGCAGAATTATCACCAGGGAAAGCAGCCTCCTCCTTCCCAAACAGCCTGGCAGAAGCTGCTGCCAGTTTCACACACAAAATCCAACCGTGGCACCATCTGTAGCCCAGGGAACCCCGTGATACTGCAGGGAGGGCAGCCCCTCCTGAATTTACCTTCTCACGTTCCTCCAGCTCCCACCTGGCAGCAGAGCAGCTTTCCACGGGCACCAAGTGCAGCCTCTCATCCCCCAACACCCAGACCTTGTCCTGGGCTTTCACTCACTTGGGAATCCCTGGATGTTTTCCCCCAGCAGCCTCAAGATTTTTCTGTGTTTTCCCCTCCTCTGCAAGGTTTAGGAAGCAGCCAAAAGCTTGGCACAGAGCTTTGCAAAGCTGGCAGGAAAACACAGCTGGGACACCTAGTGCTCAAACCATTTTTTTTTTCCTTCCTTTTTTTTTTTTTGGTAAATGGAGAATTAATTAAAACCCACCCAGCATTAAGCAAGAAAGCAGGAGGCACCACGTGGTGCCTTGTTAATCCTGCTTAACAAACTTTGGGTCTTGTCTCCATCCTGGAGCATCCTTCCAAGGACAAAAATGCCCCTTTTTTCTGGCAAGGGGGGATTCAGGATCCCCTCCTTTCCTCCAGGATGCACAAGCCTCGTGTTAAAAAAGGATCAGGAGGGATTATTATTACCTTGCCCGGGAGGGAAAGGTAATAAAGGGCTGGGTGGTGATGCTACAGTGCCCTCCAAAGGCTCCAGCACATTTCCAGCACATCCTGCTCTGCTCTGACTCACGTGAATGCTCAAAACAAACTGTCCTGGCATTAAAAAAATAACTTAAAAACCCTTCAAAAGGCATTTATCTGCCAGTCCCGAGCTGCAACAGGCAGAGAGATGGTCACTTCAGTGGCTTTATAACAAAAATCCATGACTCTTACCTTCATCAAGTGTTTGTTGACCCATTTAGTGAAGGTTTTCTTTTGGACTCTGTCCCGTTCATCTGTCAGAAGGAGACAAAGGCAGCTCTTGGTCAGTGGTTCTCATGCAGAAACTCAAACGACTTTGAAATGAGGGGAAGAGACAGAGGCAACGCCGGCGCTGCCAGCACGGATCCCCGGGAACAGAGGCAGCTTATTCAGGGAATGCTGCGGGATGGGGCCCTTCCCGCAGCTCCAGCACACCCCCCGGGCAGGGAAATGCAAGTCAGGCCAAAATACACCGATTTTTTCTGCTGAGAATGAGGGTATTTAACGAAAGCAGCGTGGATGACTGGGATAGGTACAACCGGCAGCACCCACGGAACGCCCGGAATTCATCCCCTCTGTGCCCCCCCACCTCCCCCGGAGGCAGCACAGGGGGGTTTGCCCAATTTTAGGAGGGTGTCCCCCTCCCATGCCTCCTCCTGGAAGGCTTTAGGGTGTTACATAAACCCCCAGATGTCCCGTAACGGGTCCTGGCCGGGCGTGCAATTAGCAGCTTATTCTGTCACTGTATTTTTGGTTCATTGGATTGCCAGGATTTAATGTTTATTTCTGTCCCACAGCTCAACCCCGGCCAGACACTGGGAGCTCTGAGTGCCACCAAGACAGGGTGACAATGTGGGTGTCATCCCCAGGGGTGGCAGGGGGACGGGATGGGAGAATTGTGGTGAAGCCAAGCAGCGATGGGGGAGCTCTAGGCAGGCTTTTTGCTCCACGAAAAAGTAATATCAGAGGAAAAACAGGTGAAAGGAGATGGTCCCACAGAGCACGGAGCTCCCACTCAGCTCCCCAGGCAGCCAGCCCTGTGTCCAGCAGGATTTAACAACATCATCTTGGAGCACAGAGAGATCCCCAGCACCAACCCATGGCACACAACCCTGAGCACTGCATCTCCAGCCCACAGGACCCCGTGGATATTTCGGGAAAGGATGAGCCCTGCTCACCAAATCTCTGACATCAGGTGGCCACACCCCTTGCTTTGGTTTTAAGTCAAAAATCGAGAAAAAGGAGAAAAGCAGCAACGCCCAGGCCCAGCTCCCCAGGGCAGCCCCAGAACACCCTCCTGGGGTGGGGAGGGTCGCTGGGGGTCCCTGCAGAGCCCCAGGGACCCTCGGGAGCACCTCCCGATGTCTCCATCCACGCAGGCTGGAAGGCACCACCCAACGTTCTTCCTCTTCCTCACCCACCCTGCGGCTTCCCCCTCCGAAATCGCCGCAGACACGTGGCACAGGGTGGCACAGGGTGGCACAGGGTGACACAGGGTGACACAGGGTGGCACAGGCATCACCTCTCCGTGCCCCACTCCTTCCCCAGGCCACGGCACGGAACCAGGTGCCACAAACAACCCCTGGGCTGAGCCACATCCACCCTCACTTCCCATCCCACCAGCTCCAGCCTTGGCACTGCTTCCAGGAGCCTCGGAGCCGCCGCCTGGCACCGCCAGCCATAGGAATCTGCATCAGTGCCACGTTATTTTGGGGATTTTCCTCCAGCAGAGCGTCCCTTCCCAACTCTGGTGTCCGTGCGGGATGGATGAAGCACGGACAGGGGGTACTAACCCATGCAGCACATCCGGCACACCAGGCAGGCGCTGAGCCGCCTCTTCTCCCCGGAGAGAAGCCGCCTCTCCATCGCCCGGGGATGGCGAGCGCTGGTCCCGGCAAAGCGGCAGCACCCGGGGCAGGCTCTCGTGGCGGCACCTCCCGCTCGCCCAGCTGGACCCCGATGGGTGCGGACGGATGAGTTCTGGGCCACAGCTCCTCCCACAGAGCCACTTCCTACCGCCGGTGCCCCCGGTGCGGGCAGCGCCCGTTCCTCCTCCGCGCCACCTCCGCCGACCTCGCACCGCTCGCCGCTCCTCCGGCCGCTCCCGGCCCCGCAAAACCCTCACCGTTCCGCGGTCCTGCGGCCGGCACAGCGGCTCCACCAGCCCCAGCAGCCACGGGCAGAGCCGCTGCTCCGTCCGCCCCGTGGGGATGGAGCGATGCCGAGCGCGGCGCGGCTCCGCAGCCCCAAATCCCGGCGGGATGCGGGATGCGGGCACGGGCTCGTCCCGCAGAGCCGGGCGCTGCCCGCCGGCCGGCTCTTGGCTGGTTTTCCCTCGTCTTGCTGTCCAGTTAATTGCGCCAGGGCCAGCAGGGACAATGCCGGGCTGTTCTCCGCGCTGCCCGGTGCCCGAACCGCGTCCCCGGTGCCAGCGGCGCGGGCGGGACGCGGCCCCGCTCGGCACGCGGGGAGATAACGGGGCCGCCTTATCGCCGCCTCTCTTCCTCTTCTTCTAAATATAATCCCCCTGCAGCCCTTCTGCCGGCTGCTGCCCCGGCCTGGAGGGCGACAGGAGCCGGGCTGCTGTCCCGGGGAGGTGGCAGAGCGTCCCCGAGCATCGCACGGAGCAGGGGACAGAGGATGGATGTCACCACGGATGTCACCACGGATGTCACCACGGATGTCACCACGGATGTCACCGGGTCCCACACGGTGATTCGGCAGCCAGACACCTCCAGCACTGCATCCCAAAGGTGCTCACAGCCCAGGGTCTCCTCCATGAGATCCCTCTTCCCATGTCCCGCAGAAACGGGGGGTTTTCCTCCGTTTTTTTTTTTCCCCTCCGTTTTTTTTTTTTTTGCCCTGACTCACTTCCTTCGAGTGGTTCCCGGGCTCTAACCAGATTAAACCTCCCCAGCCCCGGATCCGTGCTATCAGCTGAGCTAATAATAATGCTGGTTACTGCTTACTAACAATATTAAGGCATTGCAAGCTTATCTCTGCCCAGCTAATCTTTACCAGAGTCACCCTGACAAACAATTTGTTGCAATCCCCCCTATGCTCGTCCTCTCCTTGGTCTAGCAGAGGTTTGCTGGCCCCAGCCACCAAAAACCACCCTGTCACCATCCAGGGGCATCCAGGCAGGCAGGTAGAGCAGGGACAGAGGGAAGATTATGGAGAAAAGGAAAGGAAAATCTTTCCCACTCCAAAGACAATCCAGTGGCAGGAAAACAGATGCAGATCCTCCGGCCCCTCACACACAGGACATGGAGCAAGGGCTGGTGGCAGTGCCACAGGGAACACCAGCAGCAAACAGAGACCAGCAGCCTCTGCAGGACCACACGTGGCTTCATTGCCTCCCCACCTCCTCTCCTGACATCGAACATCAGAGCTCAGCTCAAGGCATCCCCAAAAACGGAGGATCCCAAAGGAACCGGGGCACTGTGGCACGAATCCCCCACAACTGGTGGCTGCACAAGGGGAAGGTGAGGCTTGGGGGAGTTTCCTCTCCTCTTGAACTCACCTAATACAAGGAAACAAGGAAAACCATCCTGCCCCCCCAGCTGCTGAGGCATCAGCTGAGCACAGAAAGGAAAACTCCCACTGCCCATCCCGCTGGACCTCAGCATCGCCAGGCACTTTCCATCCTCACAGGGATGGCTCCCACAGGTGCTGGGTGCCAGAGAACCCCCCCAGCACCCCACAACGCCCTGCACAGGCAATCCCCTCCCTGTTTGCCTGCAGCAGCCTCTGTCCTGGCAGCCTGCCTGTCCCCAGCAGCTCCCAACACGTCCGGCCAGTGGCTGCTGCTCCCCTCCAGATCTCTCCTCCATCATCACCGGCCTTGCTCGCTGTCACTCTCCATCCTGTGTGCCTCCTCCTGCCTCAGGCTGCTGCCAGAGTCCAGCCCCAGCCCCAGGAACCAGCGGGACAAAAGGTGCCTGGCAGGCACCATCCCTAATCCCAACCCTGCCTTGCCACCCTCCATCCCACCCGGTGCCCCCTGGCATGGCCTTTTGCCATCCTTGGGAGGGAACCAGGGGGTTTCATGTTGCCCACCAGCTCCTGGAATAAAGCTGGGAAGTGGCTCCCAAATTTTCTCCTGCTGTTGAATCCAAAGGAACACAGGAGACATCAGACAGGGCACTGATCCCAAAGAGATTTCGAGGATATGTCCAAGCCCATGCTCAGTGTGAAAGTGGGATTAAACAACTGTGAGGTAAAGGAGGGGTTGGTTACTTAAAAAAGCCAAAACCCCAATGTTTTAAGCACTGAAACCCAGAGTTTTCCTTTCAAAACAAGCAAAGAATGAGAATGTGCAGGGGGCTTTTTGAACCTAGCACTTTTGAGATGGGGGGGATATGCAAAAAAAATCTGGCTGGCTGAGGAGCACAAGGTATTTAAAACATGCTGGCTGCCAACTTGAGAGCTGACATAATCCATCATGACAACAGAGCCAACAGGGCAGGATTTACAGAGCCTTTCACCCAGGGAGAGGAAACGGAGCCTGATTCAGCCTGCAAGAATGCACAAGAGATACCTGCGGTGGAAAAGTATCCAACGCCCGGATATTTAATGAGGGAGACACCTGAGATGTGGTGATGCAAAGGAGGAGCAGGGCAGATGCTCAGCAGAGCTGGCTGAGCGTCACAAAGCAAAAAACCTGCTGCAAAATGATTCTGATCTTCCAGGATTGGGCTCTACCTGCCCTTTTCTGGGGAAAAGTAGTGGAAAAACCCAGTGTTGCTGCTTGCAACACTTACTCGAGGATTTTTTCGAAAAGGGGTGGATTTGGGGGAAGGAAACAAGTAGGATGAAGCAGCAGGTCAGCATGGGGAAGAGACAGACCAGTTGGGAAGGATCTAGGAGGCTCCCAAATGGAGCCAAGAACATCACTGGACAACACTGCCCAGCCACGGAGATTAATTAAGTGGACAGATCAGCAGGAGGAATTGCAGCAAGGCTGGGTTTAGTGGGTGACAGGGTGCATTCTGCATGATGTGTTTGTGCAATTCCCTCACAGCCTCCCTCTCCCGGCAGCTCAGAGGGAGAAAGGGATCAGCGTATCCCAAAGCAGCATCCAGGGAAAAGTCTGTGCGGCGGTCCCGCCCCTTGGCATGGAAAAAGGGAAAAGAAAAGAGGGAATCGGTCATGGACGCCGGGAAAGGGCCCCATGCGGAGGCACCGGCGAGAACAAGCGCGGCTGGAAAGAAAGAGAGAGGAATCAAAACAAACAGATCCCATGGGGAAGAAG